CCTGCATGTGTATTAAAGGATGTTGAACAGGATGCTCCTGTTGCTGAGGATACTGTGTCTCTGGGACAGTCTATGGGCTTGGAAGTGAGTAGTGATGATGGGGAGGGGTCAGTGGAGGACCACAGGACTGAACTTGCCGCAGAAGACCTTCCAGATGTTCTGACGGAGCAGCAACAGGTGGCAACTGAGGAACTGTCCTCGGAGAAGGAGGGAGGAGAAAGTGTTTGTTTCACTGATCAAAGAAATGTGCGCAAAATGGGTTGAAGTGCAAATTTTTGTTGAAAAATATCACCCTGATAAAGCTGCTGTAAGTCATGCCACTAACACTGCCAATGATAACGCTATGTCTCACTTTAGACCAATTTTAAAATATTGGAAAAAGCAAATGTCAATTGAAAAATTTTTAGTGATGAAAAGATCCAGTGAGTCTGAACCAGGTGTCAGTGCTGTAAAGAACCAAGGGAAGGAATGGCAGGAGAGGGGTCACCTACAGTGATTCTGGGAGAGGACCACAGAACACCTGAGCAACAGCCACCTATTGTGATTCTGGTAGGGGATCCCCCCCATCCAAACCATGACTATCATCATTGCAGGTAAGAAAAAATTACATTTTCATTTTTATCATCTATAGTACTGTTTTTACACTGTGTTTATTATTGCTTTTACAGTACAGTATATTGTGCTTATTGCTTTCATGGTGCATCATTTTATGGACCTGTGGTATCATTAGATAGTAAAATTCATGTTAAATTGCTGTTTTATGGGTTGATTTTAAAGGTCTGGGATGGATTAATCCATTTTGCATTACTTTCTATGGGAAATCACACCTTGGTTTTTGAATGTTTCATAACTCGAACGGTCTTCTGGAACATATTACATTAGAAAACCGAGTTGCCACTGTAATTTGGGGGAAGACTACTTTGAATATTGAATCTTTTCATCTGTAAAAATTTGTATCTCTCCATCTTTTATGTCCTTCAATAATGTTTTTATAATTTTTCCCATATAGGACTTACTTGCCTTGTATTAGATTTAATACTAAGCACCCTATGGTTTAATTGCTATTTATCTTGTACCTTGCAATTTAAAAAAAATTCATATTAGCCCTAATAAGTTATCTGTAGTAGATACTCGACAGTTTTGTTCCTTTTTACTTTTTTTTGGTAGTTTTAATCTTATTAACGTGGCTAGGACTCCAGAATAATGTTCACTAGAAGTGGTAACAGTACAGGCCTTTGTCTTCTGCCTGAATTTAAAGGCTAATGCTTGAAGTGTCTCATTCGGAAGCTGATGTTGGCCTTCATTTTCAAAATATACACAATAGTTAATACTGTTAAGTATATGTGGGCTCGGTGGAAAATTTAATACTAACCAAACCCCTCCAGACCTGTAAAACCACTGCTTCCTTTCATCCTGTGGCTGACTGGGTCTTCTGTTCACAACCGCACACCTTGTTCAGTGCTCCTGCACAGAAGGACTGCCAATTCCCACTCTGCTTCTCAACATTTGTGTCATCACTGTCATTATTTCATTTGAAGTTTTTCTACAGCCTCTTGCTACGATGTTTCTTTGGCTGTGCCTGTTTAGAGCTGCCAGGATTGGATTATTACTTCAAAGGAGGCCGGTTTCCATGCCAAGCCACCATGGAGGCACTACAGAAGCAGCGCATGGACTGCTGCTCCCATGGAAACATGACAAAACAGGTTACCCCAAACACTACACCAGGCCAATGCTGAAACATTTTATTTAGGTTTTCCACCCACCTCCAGCTCCTAACCCACGGTTTTAGAGACTATTATATAGCATAACCATTCATTCATTCATTCACTCAGTCACTCAGTCATTCATTCACTTACTTACTTATTTATTTATTTAATCATCACCCTAAGACATGCTTATTGATTTTTAGAGAGAGGGGAAGGGAGGGAGGTAAGGAGGGAGGGATGGATGGGGAGCGGCAGAGGAAGGGGAGGAAGAAAGAGAGAGAAAGAAAAACATCGATGGGTTGCCTCCCATATACACCCTGACCTGGGACCAAACCTGCAACCTGGGCATGTGCCCTGACCGAGAACTGAACTGGTGACCTTTTGGTGCACGGGATGATGTGCCAACCGACTGAGACACCCTGGCCAGGGCTAGCATAACCTTACTGAAAGCTAATCCACCATCTTATTTCCTCAGACGATGTGAGTCCTAAGGCTGGATACATTATTTTTCATTTCCAATAAGAAATTCCCAAATACTTACTTGCAACAAAGCTGGAGGCTGTCAGAGATTTGAAAATACTTGTTCTAACAATTTATTTACATATAAGTTAACGGAGTCCAAAAAAACTGATTTGCCCAAGGTCACATTAGTAAGAAGCAAAATGATAAACTATGCTCCCAGCTTTTTTCACTGTAAAATCACTGCCAATGGCGCGCCCACGGACCTCGGAATGTCACGTCTGTACAAATGGAAATCAGCCTGGAGCAAAGTGTCACTGCAAACTTACTGATCTTGTACAGAGATAAAATCTTCAGACTCCTTGCTATTAAATACCACCATGACACTTAGCATTAAGTCACAGCAAGTCTGGGAATGCTGACTATAGACAGGCAACACCCTCAGAATTCGACGGTTTTAACTTTAATAAAAGCAAAATCAAAGGATCAGCTCATATACGTGTAAAGTCAACTCAACTGGACAGAAACATTCTCTAGAATGAATCCAGAATCCCACTGGACTGTGGCATAGGGAGTGGTGTTAACAAATATAGAGAAACAGGCACATCGATCCCTAACAGAGAACGCGGCAGGAGGAGAGGGGATAGGGAAGGAGTCGGAGCAGCAGGTCAGGCAGAGTGCGCTTAGCATTTTCCAGAGAAAGGTGGCACAGAATCTAGAGAAAGCAAGCAACTGGACCCTGGGGAGTGGGAAAAGTCTCTTTTGCGGAGAATGCTATCCCAGGCAAGCTAATCTCAAGACATCTGCCTCACCCACATCTATGCTCAACAGAAAACCTTCTGGTGACTAATTCTGTTTCCACGTTCTTCCAGAGAGGCAGGAAAATGCGCCGGACAGAACCCTCAAGCGTTCGCCAGAACCCACCTGGTACAAATTACCAGCCGACCTTCTGGTTCACACATCAGTCTCACAGGTGTGATCAGCTCGGGGCTCCAGCGCCTCCAGGGCGGGGCATGGTCCACTCCAAGGAAATGCTACCTGCTGAGGCTGACTCTTAGTCCCCCTGTGGGTCTTTGCTGGGATGCCCAAATTCACCTCATATTCCTTCCATTTCCACACCAGACTTACTGCCCAAACAGGTCTTCAACAAGACTTTCCAAAGATTTAAAGCATGCCATGCCAAGGCATTAAGAAAATGAGTGAGCTGTCCCTACACAAACTGAATATACCCTTTAATGAGTTCCTGGAGTGAAAAGGCCGCAGCTCTCGAATCCTTCCCAAGAGGCACCTTCGCCTACCCTGCCTGAGCTCCACTGGGCCAAAACGGGGACGTGCCACCATACAACTTACGCGAAAAACCTCTCTATTTTCACTACTAATTTAAATTTTTCATTTTTTGACCTCAGGGATGTAAAAGAATTGCAACTCTTCAGAGAAAAACAGTAATATTCCTCTTTAATTTTGACTCTGTTTCTAAAATTCCCTCCTTGGAAATTTAGTGGGCTTAGCTCACTGAATTAGCAGTCCTATAAAATCCTTTCAAGATGGTACTGTCGTATTAGACCTACATATTTTGCTTTCAGTGTCAATACCAAATAAGTCTCTGTCTGCTGGTCTGACCACTAAAAGTTCCCAAAAAAATTCCTTTCCCAGTCAATGTGGCCTACTTTGCAAAGCCCGTTCAGTTTTGTCAGTAACTGGAAAGAGTGACCAGGCCACATTTTTCTCTACAGTTTTCCTCCCACAGACAGGAAGCATCAGGAGCCACTTAGTCTTCCCAAGTTGGTGTCTAAGGGGCCACTGAGAGAGACCAAGGCTTCTATCTTATCCTTGGTAAGACACTATTTTTAGCCTGATACCAAGAATATTCTATCCAGGAATGCCCTGTGAAGTAAGACCACACTGCTTGGTCTGGGATCAATGATACTGAGTAGGACCATCATCTCCAAAGCCAGCTCTGGCTGGAAGGTCTGAGGGATTCCTGCTACTATGTACGGCTTTGAGTCACCACACTGGCGATCTCTGCTTTGATCAAATGCTCCCAGGGAATCACCATAACCAGACATTGGGACAATATCCCAGATCCTCACTACTTCCTTTGCATAGGCTCTACCAACTAGGAGCTCAGAATTGATGTCCCAGATGTTTCATGTTTAAAATTCTGAGTAAATATGACAGAAGGGAGAAACCACTTACTCTATAAATGTGGGCCTCCAAGGTGACCTAGATAATTCTGCACAAGCCAGGCAGGAAAGTCCTAGCTTTCCCCCAAACAAGGTTTGAAATCAATACCAGTCATGGGCGAGGCCCTAAAGTAATACTGAGTAGCAGAAAAAGGGTGAGATTTATGTAATAATAAAAAGATCAATTATTTTCATTGAACTATAACAATTATAACCATGATCTAATAGCTAAAACTAATCAAGTGCTCACCATGCACTGGCATTTTACAAGCATCATCTTATTTAATATCCCAGTGTCCTTATAAAGTTATTACCTTCTACAGATGAGGAAACTAAGTAACTTTGTCAATGTCGCCCAAACTGGCTAAAGTACCAAACTGGGTTTAAAAGTCAGGCCTGTATTACCTTAGTTCCTGAGTTTAGCATTCTGCTCAAGAACACAAAAGAACAAAAAACAAAAAAAGAAGGAAAATATTAATGCTACGTTTTGGTTTGACTTCATCAGTAAATCTCAATTTTACAATCCACAATTAAATTGTTCAAATTTTTATACCTGCCCGTGTATCGTTTCTTCCAACTTCACATTCTCATTCATGGTAATTAAACCGGACAAGAAAAGGTCTTATGATTATGCATTCAGCAAAGTACTTACATAGCCAATGGGCTTGAGGGACTTGACTTCAGATGTCGGGCAGCCACAGGAAGTAAGGTCAGCATAGAGGCCTTCTTCTAAAACACACTGGTTATTAGAAATGTCCTCTTGGTAATACAGGAGCCAGCTATAAAGACAAGCCGTGGGACATTCCGTCAGACAGAGGCAGCTGGCAGCGTCAGCTCATCACTGTGCTGTGGGAACCGGGGCCGGGGTACCACATAGAAGTCGAGATGCTGACCGGCAGCAAATACCCACCACCAGTTTAAAAAACACAGCTACCACTGTCATTTATTGACTGCTCACCATGTGCCAGACATAGGCTAAGTGCTTTACATAGACTTCACTGTGTCCTCAAAACTTCCATGAGATAAAACTATTAAAATATATTTTAATCCTCACCTGGGTATATGATTTTAATGAAAATTACAGAGAGGAAGGGAGAGAGAGAGAAATATCAATGTGAGAGAGAAACATCGATTGGCTGCCTCCTGTATGCACCCCGACCAGGGATTGAAAGTACAACCTAGGTATGTGCCCTCACTGGGAACTGAGCCCTCGACCTTTTGGTGCATGGGAGGATGCTCCAACCAAACCACACTGGCCAGGACATAAAACCATTACTTTTATAGGCAACACAACACAGGCTTGGAAGGTTAGGTGATTTGCCCAAGGTCCCCCCAATTTATCAAATGATAGAGCTGTACTTTGAAAGAAGACATCTGCTTTAAGCTAAAGATATTAACTTCATTTAGTGCCTTCAAGTACAAAACTCTGGGATCAAATTATAGTGATTATTAAGGTCTTAAACACATTAGAAAAGTTTTTATGGGGGGAAAATAAAAATTTGTATCTGTACTTAACGATGAGCTTGCCTTCAGTCTGAGTTAGAAGCTAGACTCCTAAAACCACACAGCAGTATATAAAGTCTGTTACCTGCACATCTGATAGCTAATTAATACTATAAAAAACAAACCCTTTAGAATCTTTGATATTACTTTCAATATAGCGATCATCAAAAATTTGGTTAAGACATGCCCTTTTGAAAAGAAGGAACCCAAGGGATCGATGAATTGGCTGCTACCACTTCAGTTTGGGTGTGTTAAGTCCTAGCTCTATATTTTAAGATCACCAAAACTGTACTTTGGTTAGACCAGGTTAACTTTGGAAAACCACAGAAATGCTCTGTGGCATTATAACTTACTGTCATACCTTCTACGTAATAAGCATTTTATAGCCAACATTTATCAAAGGGTTTCAATGTGTGGGGCATTGAGTTAAGCCCTCCACGTGCATTACGTATTTAGTCTTTATAAGAATCCTTTGAGGTAGGTACTATTACCATCCCTCCTTACAGATAAGGAAACTGAGGTTGAGCGAGATCATCCAATATGTTGCAGGTTACATAGCTGGGAAGTCATGGAACTGGGCTCAAACCCAGATCCTTCAAGCATTCCAGGTACTGAAGCAATCGCCACAGTTCTTATATTGTCTCTTTTAATAAACTGGTTTTTCCATGTTTAAGTGATTTAAAGAAATTAAGAGGAGGATATTTCGTGACAAGTGAGTATTAGATACAATTCAAATTTCAATGTCTATAAACAGAGCTGCACCGGAACACAGCCACGCCCACCCACTGGCTGCCTCTGGCTGCCATGTGCTACAGAGGCAGTGTGGAGAAGCCGCTCACAGCCCGCGGGGCTCACAGCACGGAAAAGTCTGCTGACCCCTGGTAGAGAGACTAAGGTAGGAAATTCATAGCCGAGTAAATGTGGGCAGAGGGGAGGGCGAGGGGAATAAATAGGGGAAATGAGACGAGTTGATGGTAAATCCTGGAAGAATCTGAACATCTCACTGGGATTAGAGAATGGCTATGGGATTTTTTTTTCTTCTTTTTAATCTTCACCCGAAGATATTTTTTCCATTGCTTTTCAAAGAGAGTTGAAGGGAGAGAGACAGAAACATCAGTGTGAGAGACACATCGATTGGTTGCCTCCCACACATGCCCGACCCAGGCTGGGGATCGAGCCTGCCACCGAGGTACGTGCCCTTGGCCAGAACTGAACCCGAAATCCTTAAGCCCGCAGGCCCATGCTCTAGCCACTGAGCCAAACCGGCTAGGGCAGCTATGGGACTTAGAGCAGAATAGTAAAAATATTAAGCTGAGTTTTGGGGCAAATAAACGGGCAATAACTGATTTATGGTAAGCAATGGAAGTAATACAATGCTGGAGTGGGGTTGATTAGGGGATGAAGTTCCACAAATAGAAAATAAGATATCCTAGTCTCTACTGGATCAGGAGAGAAAGGAGAATTGATGAATCCAAGGTATTTTAAAGAATAAAGAGACTTTGATGAGTTATTAGGTAGATATTTGATACACAGAGATGCCACTGAACTGTACACTTAAAATAGTTAAAATAATTTTATGTATATTTTATAAAGTCAATAAACAGAGTATATATGTATACACACATACATGTATAAATACATATATATCAGCAGCCTTGAGACTTATACACCGTTTCATATCTTTGTGAAAAAGATCCAGTATGTTGCTGCAGCTGGAAGAACATAGGACTTAATAAAGTATGACCAAGCCATGCTGGGTCTGGTATCTGGTGTGTGATCTTAGGGAAACCCTAACTCTGAACCAGGGATCCTCATCTGTGAAATGGGGATGATAAATACTCTAAACAAAAACAGTTCTTAAAATTGAGGAATGTCTTATCTAAACAAAAACACTAATTTTTTAAAAAGAAACATGTCTTCATTGATTTTGAGAGAGAGAGAAACATGGACGAGAGAGAAACGTCATGGATCGCCTGCCTCCTGCACGCCCCCTACTGGGGACTGAGCCCACAATCTGGGCATGTTCCCCAACCAGGAATCAAACTGGTGACCTCTTGGTTCCTGGGTTGACGCTCAACCGCTGATCCACAGCGGCCAGGCAAAAACCACTAATTTTTTATAGCATTCGATTATGCTACACAATAAACATATAGTAAGAAAAAAAGTCACTCAAATGCATCCAAAGTGGGCTAATCAGCACCCTGTTTCTCTCTGTTACACAATGGCTCATAATATGAGTTGGACAAAGTTAATATAGGCTAATTAGTGGTTAAGCAATGAATAAAAAACATTTTTAAAATTTCACTGTGCAAGCAAAAAATAATACAGGTCAAATCTGTAAATTTGAAAGAAATTTAGTTTTAAAACAACAACAGAAAACACTCAATAAACATACTTACCAGCCCCGAAGAACTTTAAAAGAACATGGAATGAATGAAGTCAAATCAGAAGTTTCTTTTGTAAAATCTACACATTCACCTTGGAACCCTGGTTTACTGAATGCTTTGAGCTAAAAAAAAAACACCAAAAACACAAAAAGAATATACAAAAATTACACAGAAGACAATTGTTTGACAGCATCACAAAAGCAAACATTTAGTTTCATGTCCTTATAAAAAGTTCAGTGAAATACTAGACTGTTTTATTATTCAATTAATCCATGTCAAGGGTGACATTTTCCTTAAACTTACATTTCCCCCTCTCATGTTTTCAGAAATGTCATCATTTATTTACCATTTTCATCTATCTCTTGCACAAAATACTGGACGCAGAAGCCCTGAAAACAATTCTACCTATAAGAGTAAATCAGAATCCCTCCTCCACTAAAACATGGTCCTTGTCCATTGTATCAAACAACGATTATCTCCTGCGATGACACTACAGGTATAAAATAATAAGCAATTTAGCGCTAAACACAAAGGAGGCTTGCGTTAGTATGAGGGGTGGTTGGTATGCCTCCTCTCTCTCCAGGTCTTCCTGATCCACTGTTACTAAGAGGGAGGCGGCGAGAAAGTGAGCACGTGCCCAAAGCGAGCGAGAGCTGGCCCTGAGCGCAGAGCAGCAGGTGGTGAAGGTGACGATGGGATTAGTGGAAGGTTTACGGTGAAGGAGGAAAGATGCCTGGGTAATGCACTTCGGTTTACAGGATGCACTTTACTGATAAGAACACCTTAAATGTACAGCTTACAATTATATATGACATTTTAATTTTAGTTCTTTTTGCTAAAAAACACTCCCATGAAATCTCAACTCTAATTCCCTTTAGACCAGAGATACAGTATCCACAACTCTAGCGACCTTGGATCTATAATAGGTGAGAAAAAAATTAATGAGCCCTGTAAATATTCAATAATCCATCAGAGCCTTGAAATGCCACGGCCCGCAGGTCTACCCTGCATGGACAGGCCTGCGCCGGGCTAAGAATGCGTCATAACGAACGATCTGCAGCATGGCCCCCTCTGCTGCTCATGCGGTCATCGTGGAAAACAGGCTTCTTTGAGCAGCGAATATTCACCTCCTTCTTCCCCAGGGCCCTTAGAGGCCGAGGTTCCCTGAGTTCTGAGGAATTCTTTCTTGACTACATCATTCAGCTTTGAGCTTGCTTAGTCTGATATCAAAGATCAGCCAAAACCAGGGAGGTGAGAGGACCAATTTCCCCTGACCAACTGCCGCCTGCACAACACGACTTCCTATTGTGAAACCAGGCTGCATTTGGAGCATTAAAACTCCAAGGGACTCCTTGCCATAAGGAGGTGACATCCAGCAAGTTTCCCCCATGGTCCTCTTGGTGCACACAGTGGATAGCAATAAAAAGGAAGTCCAAAGTGAGACAGACTCCTGGAAAATTTCCTATATAAGAACAATTCTACATGTCCAGGGAAACTGCCCCTCAATATATGCTTCTTGATAAGAGCATATATTTTGGTTAGTAGTTTTTCAGGCTATATTTTAAAGGCTTAGAAAACATGAGTCTAAAAGTAAATCACATTTAACTTCCAAAAATGTAATTAATTTCTCCTACATGCAGATATTATCTTAATTCACAGTAAGACTTGGAAAAGCCACATAAGAACAGAGATCATGGCTGTTTCACCCACTACTTGTATTTCCAGTTTGTTTTCATATTGTTGAGCTTAAGATTTATACTTCAATATTTCACCATGAAATGTCAAGTCCTGGACAACTGACAAGGCAAGTTGACACGTACAGTAGCCACCTCTACTTTTGTCTGTGTTCATACCCAGAAGCATTAATTAAAATTCACACACACACACACACACACACACACACGATCTGCCATAAAGTATCTTTTTGATTTATGAGTTAAACTATTCTTTACCCAAACTAAAAAAACAGGGCTGAATGTTCATCTGAGTTTATTTTTAGCCCTAAAATGAGATTTAGTTTATTCAAAATTTGAGCAACACCAGAAAAGTAACACTTCACTCCGACTACCTCACAAATGCCTCAGAATAGAATAATTCTCATAATGTTCTGAGGAAGGTCCATACAGAAACCAACACTGCACTTACTAGTTATAACAAACTGTGGTTTCTACTCTTGGTAAAATCAGGTCCTGTGGAATGCTAACTGGATAACTATTTTGGTTTCCTTTCTAGGTTAATGTAGAATAAATGTACAAAAATTAGATAGGTTGCTTAGAACATAAGCAAGTAGATAAATGAAAGATGAGTTTATTTCAAATCACACTCAGCCCTCTGTGCCGTCTGGGCATGGCTCAATTCTTACTGGTCCCCCAAATAGAACTGTATGGAAGCAGGAAAAAAAAAAAAGAGTGCGGGGTAGAAGGGATCTAGGGGGGAAAAAGGGAACATCTGTAATACTCTCAACAATAAAATAAAAAAAGATCTACATATAATCCTTCACAAGAACAGGGGGGAAAAAAGAGACTATACCACTGGTTTGCAAGGCAAGGTGCCTTTTCTCATATATTATCTTATTTCTTCTCTAGAACTGTCCTTTGAGGCAGAAATTATCACTGCTTTATGATGAAGATTTGCAGAAATGCTTTTTTACTATATACTTTTCATTTATGATATATATGAATAAATGTAATAGGTCTTTAATTTAATATGAAAAACTAAAAACTCAACAGCTTATTTACCAACCAAACACAGAAGTTATACTCAATTTATCTACAATATCAGAATTTTATTTACTCCAATATTAAGATAATTTCTATGAGAAACATTCTCCCCTGTCTGACTTTCTGCTGCCCTGTGGGCCTCCTTCAAACAAACATGCTGATTGTTAGACAAAGAACAGTCTTGCTTCCAATCTTCCGTTGCATCACACTGCCTCATACTGTAGCATTATCTACTTTTCCCATCACTTACATGTTCTACAATAACTGGACTTCCCTGATTACTCAGGGAATGGTTTTCTTTACTTGGAGAAGTACTTCCTGAGGATTTCTGGCATTTGGATTCTATAAAGATGGTCTGGTCACAGGACCATGAATAAGTGTTTTTCTCTACTGCTCTTGAATCGTAATGATATTTGACTAAAACAGCTGTCTTCCTATCTGCCATCAATGATAACAGTAACCACAAGTATTAAAAGTCTGCAATCACTCTAAAATTCAATGTGGCCGAGTTATGCAATACTAGAAAACATCCAGTTGCTTTTTCTCAGCCAGAATCATGCATAAAATGAAACAGGGGCTCAGTATTTAAAGAAATCCAAACTTCTTATTGTATTTGCAAGTAGGCTTGAAAAAGATTCTAGGAAAGCAAAGTCCTTGGTTGGGTCAAAGGGGGAAAGCAGTTAGAATTTCCAGGGAATGGGACCTGAATACAACCTCCTTGAAAACTCAACTCACTGTTATTAGACTTAATTTAATGAAATTTCTGATTTGGACTTGGTGGGGGAGCAGGGTGATGACATTATGAACACAATCCGCATGGTTTGTTTTTTGTTTTGTTTGGGGAAGAAAAAATAAAATGCCACCTGCTGAATATGAAGAACTCTATAATGATCCTTTATATTTTGAGTTGGCAACAGGCTTGGTGATTGAGCTTTAGTCAGAAACAATCTTCTCAATACAAGGAGGTATTGTTCTATGTTCCAAATAAGACACATCTCATCAGGACATGCTTACACATCAGCAATAATATTTTTATTAACATAACTCTCATGATGTATATCAATCTCTATCCACATACATTTTCTGGCTTTTCCTCTCTTAGGATGCTTGAGGTTCCCTGTCAAATCATCAGCATAAAAAACAATTCTCTCTCTGACTTGAACTCCGAGACATAACTTCCTTATTCTGCAGAGAAAACTACTGCTTCACCTGCACACAGCATCTGAATGGTGAGTCTGACTGTCACAGCAACTTATAAAGAAGAAAATGCTTTCTAGCTACTGAACGGAACCAGAGTGCCAGCCAATCCTTTCTGTTTGGGTAAAACAAGCAATGCGCTCCGAAACTTGGGTCCAGTGGAAATAATATGAGCTTTGATACTGGCTAAACTAAGGAGACTTTGTCTGCATGTGACCAAATACCCAGCTACCATCCACCTGTCAGAAATGTTTATTTCACAAGGCAATAGCTGAGCCATAGCCAGGAAAATGAAGGGCTGATTCCACTGGGCGCTCTGCACTGCTTCCTTTTCTCTTCAAGTCAGACTGGAAATACTAAGAAGAAAGCCCTATGAGCAATCTGCCCGAAACAAGGAAGTCCACACAAAGAACAGGGACGTAGGAGGAGGAGACAGAGCTTAAAAGAATGTAACTTCTATCTGCACTTAAAACTCAGAAATGTGCAGTTAGGAATTATCCCTATTTAACTCTTAAGATACGTTGATTCATGTGAAAAGTGCTTTAAGAGTCCACAGCTGGACTTTACAAAGATTCAAAATAAATATCTGGCAGGAAGTGTCTCTAAACACCACAGCTCGATTATATAGGGTGGAGCAAAAGTGGGTTTCCAGCAGTTCGTATGGAAAAAGACATTCAGGTTATGATGATTACAATAGCTTTCTTAACTCTTGTGTTTCCCATACGCACAAATGTAAACCTCCTTTTGCCCCTCCCTGTATTTAGAAAGGAAATGTTCCCAATAGGCCTGAGTTAATCAGAAAATGAAACCTGGAAGCACTGTAAATAGAAACATGGTTAAATTAAGCTGATATGAAATATATAAATACTGACATGAACATGAGAAATATAGAACTCAAAGGAAGAATTCAGCACTATGTAAGTTAGCAAATGTCAAATAATTAAAATTAATCAATATATTTGCTTTTAGACAGAAAACTTTCCAAATTTTTTATTTAAAATGAGAGGAAGCAATTTTTCATTCCTTCTTCCTCCTAAAGTAATACAGCTCCTATCATGAAATATTTTTCTTGATGTAAAATCCTGAAATTGTGGTTCAGTGGCGATACCAGATAATGCCTATTTTGCTACTTGTTGTGTGAAATGACACAAATTCTAAATCTTGCTTTGCTCCTCAATAAATGGGATTAATCCTGACCTCAGAGTTATCAGAAGCACTAAGCAAGCACTAAATAAGCACAATTTCTTTTCCACCTTTTTCACCCAGCCCTGCAAGCCCCCTCCCCCCTGACAGCTGTCTGTTCTCTGTATCTATGAGTCTATTTCTATTTTGTTTGTTAGTTTATTTTGTTCATTAGATTCCACATGTGAGTGAAATCATGTGGTACTTGTTTTTCCCTCCTGGCTTAAGTCAGTGAAGGTGACTTAAGCAACAAAAACCAAACACTCAAAGACACAGACCACAGTATGGTGACTGCCAGAGGGAAGGGGAGGTGGAGGGAGGTGGAAGAGGGTATGGGGGGGATAAGTGGTGATGGAAGGAGACTTGACTTGGGGTGAACACACAATACAATATGCATATGATGTGTTATAGAATTGTACACCTGAAACCTATATAATTTTATGAACCAATGTCACTCCAATAAATTCAATAAAAAGTAAAAAAAAAAAGGCACAATTTCTAGCCTTCAATGGACAATAAACAAACGTTAGGCTCCAGAGTACTGTCCAAGCCTTCAAACCACTAACACCAGAAATAAAGAAGGCTGCAATTTAACTAGTGCTTTTAAGAAATCTCTGATTTAGGGATTCGGAATACAATTACGTAATAAGCACGCCAAGATGGCCAGTGATTTCTCCATGTGCTGAATAAGAATAAAACATTCAAGAACAGATGGGCAACAGGGAAGAAAGAGTGGCAGAGGTTCAAAATGATCCCAAAGTGGCCAAAGCGGAGTCTCTAGCAGAAGAAAACAGGAGGTGGGCCACATCCAGGCCGGAACGACCACTAACGGAGGCGGGCTGTCTTCATCTCGTAGGTACCAAGCACAGTGCAGACCGCCCTGACTCGGCTGCAAGTTATCTGAGGGAAAGGATTTGAGAGGAAGGGCATACATGCTATTAGTCAACAATTTAACAATCCCAAGGTAAGGCTATTTTTAAACATACCAAATGTGGAGGCTCATTTATCCCAAGTGGTTCCTGAAAAACAAAACATTTAAAAAAATTGTTAACCATATAATCCTTGTTGTCTTTTTGAAAGTGTTGAAAATATCCTTTGGAAAATGGGGAAAAAAAGTCTAGACAATTTATTAGATTTCTTGAATTGGCCATGACCCTCAAATAACTTACTGAATTATCTTATAATAATTTTGTATTTATTACTAATTCACTTTGAGTAATACTGTAACTGGAAGAAAAATCTGCCCCAATACCTATTAGAACAAAAGTGTCTGAACTTCCCACCATCCGCTCCCCCGTAACTATTTCACGGGCACCCATACCATCCCGCAGTGTTCATTATTCCACAAGCTTTTTGGGGAATGCCCTTTCTGCTCCACTTCCCTGCCTGGAAAAATTGTTTTTTGTCCCTTCAGATATCACTCAATGTATCCCCGCTGTGGCACAGTCCCCAATTGTCCAGGCTTTGAGGGCTCGCTTTCCCCTGCACCCCTCCCACTGCCAACACACTTCATTTTTCCCACTAGTCATTCTATAATTAACTGTCCACATGCCTATCTCCTCAAAGACGCCGAGACCCATCAGGGCAGTCTTACTCCTGTCTCAGTGAAACAGTACAGTGGCAGAGCAGAGGCACTAAAGAAACGCTGCTCAATGAACGAACGGACCAGATTACAGAGCCTCTTCATCAGTGTGCTAGTATCACACACAAGCTCTCTATGGAGGCTACAGAACTCCATCTGCTGTTTCATTTTCTCTACATACACGTAGTTCAACAATTCCATTTTGGAGAAGCTGGTTCCACACTTATGCCATTCCGCGCCCCTGGCATTAGTTGCGGTCACACTTAACTCACCAGTTGGACAGGTCGTATTGACATGATTGTGTCATTAGATCCTCCCCAGTCAAAAAAGCATTTGTATTTCCCTTTCTCTAAAACGTACTGCTCTCCACAGAAAAACTTCTGCCCGTAGGCAACCCATCTAGTAGGGGGAAAGGAAAAAGAACAGAAGTGATGTAGAATCGAGCACCCAACAGTTTCAGACACCAAAGAACCTCCCCAGGCTCTCAAGGTAGGAGACAACTTACACTCCACTTTTAACATGAATGGATCTTGTTTCATTGCTGAAGCCCATTTCTTCTAAGTCAGAAATCTCCTGATTTGCAATGTCAATATACTTCCCACTTTCCAGGTCAGACTCAAACAGCGTGATGGAAGATTCTATAAAATTCTAAAAAGAGGAGAGGAAAGTTTAGAAAAATGCATGCGTTTTGTTTTACAGACTGCGAAATCTCTGCACAATTTTCACATACTTGTGGAAACAATTTTAGTAGTTACTATTCCTAACTAGTTTTAGGACCAAAAAAAAAAAAAAAAAGGCCTCAAGTTGTACTTTAACGAGGAAAACATATAAATAGAAATTAGTCAACTGTTGGTAAATTGCTAGGACTTACAGGCCACCATACGTAACACTACTTGTAAAGGAAACTAAAGTCTCACTTATGCCGAAAGAGCAAAAGCTACTTGAAACAAAATGGCCAATGGGCAATGAAGGAGGGGATTTTATGTGTTTAAATGAAATGGAAAAGAACTGTCTGCTTGACAAAAGAAAAAAATATTAAGAATTAAATTGGGAAAAAAATGTAAAATATTTTTAGCCAGACATGTTTGAAACAAAATTATCAGAAAAACTCTAAGACCCAAAAGGATAAGTCAGCAAAAACACAGATAATTTACAAAAAAATTAAAAATAAGCAAATGTCAAATTTCACTAATAAAAATAATTTCAAAATAACAACGATTGACACAATTTTCATTTTTTAAATTAAGAAGGATTTTAAAATCCAGTTTGGTCAGGGAACACTGTTGGTGGAAATATACACTGGACAGATTTTTTAGATAATAACTTATAAATATATTTAAAAGGCTGAAATTGTCAACATTCTTTGAACCTGTAATTCTTTTTTGTTTAAAGTTGAGTTTCTTAAAGAAACTAAACAGCAGGCAATTTATAAGCAAAGATGCATTATTTGTAATAGTAAAGAGCTGTAAACAATGTAAATGTCCAAATGGTGTATCAAGATAAACTTTTAAGCATCTACCACTTGACGGAATAAATATAATTATGATGAGTCAACAAGCTAACAGTGTAAATGTAGAAAATATTCTACATTTACTACTGGTTGGAGCTTTATGTGCATTATTTTCAAAAGAGCAACCACATGAGATTACACTACTATAATTCCTATTTTACAACTAAGAAAACTGAGTAATATATTATACTGAGTAATATACATATATTAATATAACATATATTAATATATGTATACATACATATGTATATAGATAATCACACGTATATAAAAAACACAGCTATATATCTGCCATTTTCCAGATGAAATCAAGACTCTAATAGCGATCTGCCGCCTTAAAGTCCCCAGAAATAGACTCCCAACTGAAGTATGATGTTTACAGCCATGGTGCCACATCAACAAACCTGGTTGTATTGACAATATAAACTTCCATCATCTGAAGTACCTGAAATGCCTGTCTCTCTTGCAACTTGAAAATGCCTAACTAGCTCAAGGCAGTTGGGAACCGGTATCAACAGCCACCAATGAAATCAGGCCCAACCAAAATGGGAAGGACTTTAGCAGCTCTCAATTATACGGACCTCTCCTCTCTCTCTCTGGTGACTCTGGAATGTTCCATCTCTGCTTCTACTTCTACCTCCACAACTACCTACTCTCTGCTACTGGTTAGGGTTTTAAAAATGGGGGAGCAAGGGTAAGCTGAAATATACATGGGTCATTCGTTGTTTTATGTTGGAGTCAAATGGGACAAAGACAAAACTAAATAAATACATATATGTGCATGTGTGCTATTTGGACCCTTTCATTAAAATAACTTGTGCTATGATGTGATGTATTCTACTTGAGCAATGATTTGCACAAATCAATTCTGTGGGTTGTGAGGGAGTGACAGCAGTGAGGAGAGTGAGCTGGGAAGCAGGCTGGAGGGTCAGGCCACAAAGGCGAGCAGAGGAGGAATCCACTGTCACAGGGTCCACAGCCACGTGCAAGTGCTGACAGTGCATGAGTTCACAACTAAATTTACTCACATGGCTTGTATTTGTCCTTCCTGCTCTGTCTCCCATTCCCAGAGACTAGACCAAGGGCCGTGGGGTCTCCCAGCTGGCATCGCTCTCCTCTTTCCATCTTCTGCTTTTGTTTATTCATGGTTTTTGCCTTATAGCTCTTGCCTTCCATTTTTTTCTAAGTACGCTTCTGAACCACTCTCGCAGTTATGACCCTCTCTGCATTTTCTCCCTCAAACCTATCAAATACACAATATCTGATCTAGTTGACGAGCTGCCGTCAATATGGTGCCCCTTCTGGGAAAACTTCTAACTCTAAGCCAACTCCAATCACCTGGAGCTGAACCTCCAGAGTCATGTGTACAAAGCATGATATAAAATATTTTAAAAAGGCAATAACCCCCTTCCCCCCCACCTTTTAACTGTCTTGTTCTGGAAGTGACTGCAACAGGCACTCAGAGTCACATCCTGAGTAAGGCCCACAAGGTTACTAGGTCACTATCATCCTTGCTTTATTAGGCATAATTAAATAACTTCAGAAGTCACACTGATTAAAGTGGAGCTCTACAGCTTGAGAAGGAATAATGATGGAATGACCTCAAATCTATATTCCACTTTCTTTTTTTAAAGCACTTACATCCAGTCTGGCCAGCATGGCCCAGCGGTTAAGCATCGAACCTATGATCCAGGAGATCGAAGTTCGATTCCCGGTCAGGGCACATGCCCAGGTTGCGGGCTCGATCCCCAGTAGGGGGTGTGCAGGAGGCAGCCGATCAATGACTCTCTCGTATCACTGATGTTTCTATTTCTCTGTCCCTCTCCCTTCCTCTCTCTGAAATAAAGATACTTTAAAAAGAAAAATTAATGATTTTTAAAAAAAGGCACTTACATCCATTGAAAAATCTGGATCTGGTTTAATATAGTCTCAGGTACAGTACTCCTGCTGCTAGAGATAACTAAAGAGCAGCTGCCACAGGACCAAAGATAAGTCTTAAGGATCAGCAATTTGATTATTTTAATATTCCATAAAATCCCTCAGCTGACCAGGCCCTGGAGCTCTTATGCTACAGCCCCTGTGGGCGACGTGACACGAGACACCAGTACATTCATTAATTTAGAAGAAATACTGGTCTCTGCTGCATTCCACCTGGTTTCAGAGATCTGAAAAGAGGCCCGAAGTCTGAAAATCAGAAAAGCAAATCCAAAAGCTAATGAAAAACTGAGGAAAAACAAGCCTATCAAGACAGTTTTGTCAAGGAAGCCAAAAAATAAAAATTCCTTCCTTAATCCCTGGAGTCTAAATACTGCTATATTCCTTCTGGTCTTGTCCTTTAAAAAATAATCAACTCCAAGTCGACCCATCTGCCTGGCTCATTTGGAGCTGGGAACACATTTCTGGTCGTCCTCTCCAAACTGCAGTGTCTTGTGCAGTTTTTCTATCTATCCTCTTATTTCATATTACTTCAGCTTAGATCTTAAATGTAGCACTTCACTCTTTCCAAGGTTAAGAGACACCTGAGAGTCCCTGTGGGGAAAAGATGTCTCACACCAATTCTACTTGCTAACTTATGTAGGTCTGTGACAACCACAAAGCTTTAAATCCTATATTTAAATACTGTATTATATACTTCATTTTTCAAAGAGGGTAGACCTTAACGTTATGTCTTATTATCACACACACAAAAGTAATAATAAAGGGGATGGAAGAAAATTTGGGGAGGTGATGAGTATGTCTCTGGTCTTGATGGTGGTTGATGGTTACACAGGTGTAACTTATCCCCAAACTCACTGGGTTCTATACATTAAATATGTACAGCTCTTTACATGTCAATCATGTCTCAATAAAGTGATTTTTTAGAAAAATAGAGAACTCTCAAATTATATGCTATGTCTAGAGAATGTAAAATTTTTTAAAGTATACTTGATAAGCAAGTTTTTAAAGCATTTCCATAATATATACATATTTAAATTTTCAATTTTCTGAACATGTAACTTTAGTATATTTCATATAAAACATATTTTAGTGGGCATAAATTTAAATTATAAGTAAACTGTCTGAAAGTTCATGTAAATAATTATTTATTTTATATGTGTATTGGTCTGCAATATGACCATATATTTACAACTACAAATGAAACCTTTGTTTGAATGAGATTCAGTTTTCCATTGTTAAAATGCTTTTTGTAAAAAATGAAAACGAATTATATGGCATAGGTTCCAGAGAGGCACACTGGCCCTCAAATCACAGCTTTATACTCAGGCACAGTACCTCTTATATCCTCAGTTTCTATATCTGCAAGATGGGAATCATGTGAGTATCTCACTGCCTTTGTGAAGATTAAGTGTAAGTATGCAATAAGGTCCTTGAAAAATGATAGATTATAATGAGGCTTATGAAAACATCTATAACTATAACCTAACAACTAATCTTTTAATTAAAAAAACCTAATTTAAAGAGACTAGAAGGTTTTCTTTGAAGGTATTTTTACTTATTTACATAAAAACTATGTGCCCTCATTTTTGTCAATGCTGCAAATTTTGTATGCAGCACTAATTAACATGACAGTTTATGCCAATTTTTCCAAATATATTATCATGGATTGTATAGCAAATATTTCCTAATTATTTAATGATAAATATAGTTACAGTATTCATATCTTTTCACGTTTTTTTCTATTGGTAGATTTCAAGCAGTCAGATGAGGTTTTGGTTTTTTTGTTTGTTTTAGTCACAGCCATCTTTGGAAGATACCATCACGTTCATTACTAAACACTTCTAGGATCAGCAATGCTTCCGTTTGACTCTCTTTTTTTAAATAAGGAGGGAAAAGAAAACTGGTTGGTACTAGGTGGAAGATGCGTTGAATCATGACCCATAGTTTCCTCAAACAGTGTGGTTAAAATGACCTTTTTTTAAAAAAAGATGAAGGCTCTATCTTGTTTTGTCCTGCTTGCCTTTTAGTGGTCAGGTAAGGACTGGCTAGGAGAGAAAACCTTTGGTCATTGTATATTGTGGACTAAATACCTCAAAGGTTATCTATCCATCGCTCAAGTAACCTCAGGGCCCAGTCTTCAGTGGACTGCCCTGTATATATTTCTCTCAGGTAGAAGTGGTTTCCAGCTTTCTTACTGACAAGGATCATCCATGGGAAAAAACAAAAAATGCTCCCTGTGCCCTGTGCTTCTTTCCCCATTCTGTCTCTTCCTGTCTGAGCAGGTGAGGGGTTGCAAAAGAGCTGCTGCTGGCCCTGACAGACAGAAACCTAAAGGGCCAGAGCACGCAAACCCTGTGCACATTCTAAGTGCACGTGGACCCCATAGCCACCCTTCACTTCATTACCATTTCCTTCAAAGAGGGCTTTAACTATCCAGAGAGGTCAGAGGTCATATGGGTAAAAGATGATTTTGGAAAGAGACTGCAGTGGTAACGCCTGAATCTGAAGAAAACATGCCCCTCTGAGCGTATCAGCATGTATAGAGCTGGTCAGAAATGAGCAACGTCTGAGAAGTCCTGATACCCTACAGAACTCTCCGGCACTTACCTTCTCTTCTCTATGCCTGCACACCTTTCACTGGGGGCCTGTAAAGTCCAGTCCTCTTTTCTCCAGACTTCCTTCCTTCACACCGTGCCATTTCTTCATAGTCACCGAAAAGATCTTTCTAAACCACTAATCTAATCATGCTCACTAGGTCTAAAATCAATCAGTGGTTCATGGTCAAGTCAAGGAAAAAAAAAAATCTGAACTCAACGTGACATACGAGGCCCTTCATTATCTGGCTCTGGACACATCTTCCCAAAGTTCTCCCTAACACCCTGACCTAACTGCATTTCCCAAACACACACCCCTTTTACTTAACATGGCAATTTCTCAACCTCAGCGCTATTAACATTTTGGGTTAGATGATTCCTTCTTTGTTGGGGTGGGGGTAGAGACGTTGTCCTGTGAATTGTAGGTGTTTAGCAGGATTCCTGGCTTCTACCCACTCAATGTCAGTAGCATTCCCCACAGCCTCCCAAGTCATGACAATATAAAATTTCTCCAGACACTGCCAATGCCCCTTAGAGGGTAAAATCACCCAAGCTGAGAACCACTGGCTTACATCCTTGCCTTGATATATGTTACTCTCTCGCCAAAACAGCACCTACCTTTCCCCTTCACCCTGTCCTAAAGTTCTTCACTGGCTAACCCCTGAACTTGAAATTTCAGCTCAGCTGTCATCTTGACTTCCTCTCACTTCCCATAGGAGTTACTGACCTTTTTCTGAGTACCCTGAGTACTCTGAGCTCAATCCAATCACAGTCAAACAGTATCAGACACCGATGTAAGTGTTACTTCCCTACAAGGCTGCCTGCTCTGCGAACGCAGGGGCCGAGTCTCTGGCCACTACATCTCCAGCACCTGGCACAATACGGTTATCAAAGCAGGTACTCAAAAAACATGGAATCAATAGATGAAAGTAAATGTAAGTGTTCTAGAGTAATCGTGGCAGTTAAGAAAAACAGGTAAGGGTCGGGGGAGGTAAAGAAGGTAAAGGGGGGGACAAACGGTGATGCAAGGAGAATTGACGTGGGGTGGTAGACACACATACACACAAAATGATGTATTTTATAGAACTGAACACCTGAAACCTATGTAATCTTATTAACCAATGTCACCCCAATCAATTCAATTTAAAAAACAACAACAATAGGCAAGTCTCATACGCAGTTCACTTTAGTGCCTTCAGGTTTTAGAAACATTTTATAACCTCATGTTCTATCAGAGGCCATGTTCAGTTTTTACGGAAAGATAAAGAGGGAGAAATTAAGAGTTTGGGAGCTAACTCACAGCTTGTAAGTACCGGAAAGACAAGATGGGGCCACTCAATGCCCCACAGGCACTGCTGTCTTCAAAATCTCCTTCTTCCAGCAGGAATTGCTGGCCTTTAAAATGTTCTTTTGCATAGGCAACCCACCTAGAAATACAGAGGACACCAACTGAGCCATTAATAAAACTGCAGTCAAGAAAGCAAGGGAAAAAATCATGATAAAGCACCTAGTTGCACATCACCATATTTTAAAAAGCAACACATTTTTTTGTTTTGTTACTATTTACAAAGAAAAATGGCGCATGCTTTATGGATCAATACTTTTTATAGTTTGGAGGCTTTTCCTGACAAAAGGTTAACTGTTGCAGGATTGCAGCAAAGCAATGTCATTACATGTCTGTGGTGTGGCCTGATACCACATTGCAAAATGGCTGGAGAACAGTTTGCCAAGTAAAAAATAATGGAAAGCACAAATACGCCACGAGACAAATTACAGACCCACGCTGAGATTCAGAGACAGTCATTCTTGTTTTACTGATTGAGCCCTCAGGAATCACAGAATGATTACTATATTAAACATTCACTTAGGGTTTAAGTCAAAGGAGCCTCTCACCAGGTTTCAGATCTAGAACACATTATGGGGGGAGTTAGCAAAGAGAAACTGGGAGATACGACTGAGCTGGTATGGGCCCTGGTGGCCCCATATATATATAGGGACTTCTGAGGTATTTACGGTGGGAAGTGATGCTCCCACCATCTCACCAGTGGTGATAATGGAAACAGTACGTTTCAGGGACACTGGTTTCCTGACTATAAAACTATCAGTACAGAGCACTGATAAACACCATTAGGCATTAAACTCCTCCATGAAGCTTACATTTTGTGGAGTAACCAGAGTAGCAATGCTACAGTACGCGTCAACCTGCTTAAATCTGCCTTTAGCTGCACTGTGCCGTTAGAGTGGGACCCACTCCACGCGCACATTCTAAGGACGGCTACTTTGGGCTCCTGGGTTGGGGACTTCTGAGTTCTGGAGTTTGATAAAATGAAGCCTGGCAAGGCTGCTACCGTTTCCTTCCTTTCTCCACCCCTACTGTAGCTGTGAAGATGTAAAAAATATTTCCAAGAATTGTTTCCATAGGGTGCAAAATTACAGTCGCCGCTCAGCAATCATGAATCCTCGCTGACTCTGTGTCGTAGGTGTGTGTACAGAAGGGGAAGGGGGCATGTGAGCTGGGATAAACATGTTTTACACATCTCAGTATATTTGTCATGTGTCATGTGTAAAGAAACTAGCATTACTTCATTCTTAAGCTATTATGTGAAAATAAATCTCATAAGAAAACTTTCGAATTCTAAGCTTCCTTTTCTGTAAACAAGGCCACTAGAAACATGCTTTCAAGACATCGGAAGGGAAAAGAACAAAAGGTACAGAGGGCTCAGTACTGAAGGACAGGCCAGCCAATCCTTACACCGTGACAGTCTGAAAGTCTTCTGCCCGGTTTTCCTTAATAATCTGATTAAGATTCAATTTATATATCTATCTGGGATAGTAAAAAATAGATGTTATCTCAGGAAAATGAAGAACCATCAATCTCCCTTTCCCGAGATTGCTTAAGATGGGAGAGGTGAGGACGAGTCGATGCCACATATAGGTGAACAGCGAACAAAACGGTGAAAACGCAGAACGAACTCAGCCGTTCGTCCTTCCATGGGGACGTCCCATTTTCCTCCTGCAGTTGCCATATAAAAATGAAAGTGTGCATACTGTACTGTAAGCCATAATATTTTCTTGAGAATTTTATAAAACAGTTGTAGAAAAGAACAATGCAAATCACAATCCAGTTAATGGGAAAAACGCTCAGATCCCAGAGGGAAAATATTTAGCAAAGGGTTAACAAGCAGCCTGTGTGTTCACAAATCAGAGGACACTGCAGATGAATATAACACAGTAACAATGTGTTTGCCCAAAACACATGTTCTTCAAGCCCCTAATAAAATTTTAAAATTCAAGAATAAAGAAGTACAAACTAAAATTGAAAGAAAAAAACATATATTTTAATGAAAATAAGTATAGTTACCAAAACAAAACAAAACAAAACAAAGAATTCAATGATTACCAAAATGTCAGACCAATTACGGATATGGCCCACCTATCTAGTATATTGCATAATCTCTTATAGTTTCATTTTGGCTGGTATGACCACCACTTGATTTTCTGCCAGACATTGCAAAGTTTAAGTCTCTAAACGAGACTCAAACGATGCTTGAGGGATCTTATAAAAGTCATTTAACTTCTACAAATAAAGTATTTTAGTAGCATCTTATGCTAGTGTATCATGAGCAAGTTATATGATGTTAGCACAAATATCAAGAGGTACCAAGGCCTAAATTAAAAATGAAGTAACATTCCATATAAACCAACATATCAACAGAGAGACTAATGGAATGTTTCTGGAGGGCTTCCAAAAGCAGTTCAGGGCCAGAGAGAGGTTAACCAACATAAAAGATGCTTGACTTTGAAACAGACAAGCAGGCTGCTTCTTTAATGAGGGAGGGCTCGCTGTCAGTGTCGTCAGCAGAGAAAGTCAGCTAAGATCAACAGAAGATAGGATTAAAACTAGGGCTCTCATCCATGTTCACAACCTGAGAAGAAATAATTTTGTTTATAATTCTTTTTTCTATACTGTGTTTAGGAATACTAAGTGCTGAAGTTCTGGAAACTGTTTTTGATATTTATTCTACCTCAAAATCTATAATACCAAGAGCTCACAGAAAGCTATTAGTAACTGCTTTTTATTTCCCGTATTATCAAAGGAATTTATATCTTCAGACTGAGGCAGGTGGTCTTTGCTCTGCTTAGCACAGTTTTTGTACTGACCTTTAAAAATAGACTACTAAATCAACTACTGAAAATATGACACTCACACTCCACCAATGACACGAATTGATCCGATTCCATGAAAGTCCCCATCATTTTTTAAAAAGTTCGGGACAGAATCGATATGTTCGCTAAACTCTTTGGCCTGTCCATGGAAGTGAGGTTTTTCATAAATAATAACCTGAAAAATATGAAAGAAAATCATTTAACATACTCATATTTCAGGATACACACTGAAGACAATAACATAAATAGGGATTGCTGTTTTTTCATTAAATATATACTTACAACAGAGCACACTGTCTGACAGTCACAAGGCATAAATGAGTCCTTAGCATCATAAAGATATCTTAATTAGTAGCATACTTCTCTCATTTTAATATACTCAGGTCTGATCACACTATTCTGGTTACCCAAATGCTAGGCCACCTCACAGGATAAACTGTCTTATAACTGGTTCTTGAATTATCTTTGTAAGTTTACCCCTGTGGGTAGAATTTAATACAAACCTGCCTTACGTTACAGAATTTCCCCTATAAGGAATAAAAAGTCTCTTGAGGTTCTGGGGCATAATAATGAATTATCTATGGATTTGAGAAAACACATGCTGTTTCTTATAACATTGCTTCTATGGTTGTTACTATTCAATGAGAGACAAATTCTTGAGTCGAAGTACAAAACTTCCTAAAAATAAAAAGCAATTGAAAAAAATTACAGTATTTTTATTCCACGTTGAGTTAAATTACGGGGGTTGTAAGCGTAGAAGGATATACATTTCCAGCACTTCACTTACTTCAAATTTGGATTGGTACAAGTCTTTCTCTTCTACCACTTGGACGCTCTTCATTCCCAAGGATGAGCTGCCCTTAGTGTGTGGAAGTGGTAACAGAGCTATTCTCTCCATACTCTATTGCCTGGTAACTATTGGTGGCTAATGGCATAATTTGTGTACAACTGGCAACCCATGACCTTGGTGAACAAGGTCCCATGCTTAAACACAATGAACTAGCAAGTAATAGCTCTTTTGTTTTTAAAAACTGATAAAATTATACAGACTGAAATAAATATGTAGCACTGCTCCTGCAGTTTCCTGCCTGTTTTCACCAGGTGCTGTACTGGAAGTAATGAAGTTTTATTTGGGTTTAATACAATCTACATATGCTGCACACACACAAACTAAGAAAGAAGCAATAATCCTTTGATGAGTAAGCCATATACTAACCTCTAACAACTTGAAAATTGTGACCATCTATGATAGCCATTCCATTCACACACCTCCAAACCTGTCAAACAGGTTGCAATGTCCGAGGCAGACCCAGCCTGTTGCATCTGAAGTTCTGATTCAGGAAACAAGGAGCCTGAGACAGGAGCAGCTCAGGGTGTGTCACAGCTAATTCTACATTTATTAAGTTCTGGTTTGAAACTCTGGTTACAAGTTAGAATCACCAGGGGAGCTCTGAAAAGTATGACCACACCCCAGACCAAAACAGTATCTGTGTGAGCGGAACCCAGGCATAAGTATTCTTTTTAAAAAAACCCTCAGATATGTGTGATTCCATCACACAGCCAAGATGTATTAGATACACACAGATATTAAGATCTAATTGACTCCATCTATGCAACTGAGAGAACTAATGTTTTGTGATACCACAACTCCATAAATTAGGAAGCCCCAATGTTTTGGAGGAAAGGAGAAAAGTGGCTAATTCACTGCCTCCATCCCTGCCTCCGGAGGTGCTGTCACCTCATTACAGAGGCCTGTTTGTAGCTTTGTTCACTGCACTTTTATTTTCTGATCTCTCTTAGATTTTATAATTCCATTTCTTCCTTTCTTTCCCCAAATGTGCTTAATTGTGGCACCACTACCATTCCCGTTTTCATCGTCTCCACCTACACCTCCCTCAGCATCACCCCAAAACACCTGCTAGGTGTCTCCACCTGAACGTCCAGCCGCCACCTATACCCCACCCCCCACAAAAATCAAACTCACCACCTTTCACCTGTCAGCAGGTACTCACTGGGTTCGACTGGCTTTTCAGTACGGACCTCGATCTCTGCCTTCTCACGCCACTCCGCATTCACAGCCTGGGCCCCCAGCAACCATTTCGTATAGTCACTTGCCCTCACCCAACACCCATGAGCTGGGCATTGCTAACATATGTTCAAGTAATTGTTTTCTATTTTAACAGTTCAAAATACTTAAAGATTAATACTCAAACTTCTTAGGCTACTACGAAAGTTTGTTCCAAACGTACCTTTAAGTTCATGGGCATTTCCACTTTCAGTCCACCCTTAAGATGACAAGAAATTTTAATGTTAGATATATAAATATTTAAAATATTTGAAAGTAACTACATGACACATATAAGTTATATAAAAATCTGCTTAGTGAAGATTATACACCAATTAAATTTAAGTTGTGGTATATTTAAAATTTTAAGAACAGAGCTCTACAATAGTTAAGAGCAAGTCAGACTTCTCTGCATCAATATAGACGGGGCAGGAGATATTAAAAGATACTTTCCAGATTACAACTACAAGCAAGGAAGCTGAATTTTAGTCCTTAAGCACACGTGAGCAATTGAAGATTTAATCCCACTTCGGAGTACCCAAAAGTAAGAGTGGAGTTGCTAGGTTTAAAAACCTCACTTGGCAGAGCAGATTTCTAAAGCACTTATTACTAAATGTCTTCTCTACAATTACTTGGGCTTTCTACATTAGAGAGGGCACTTCCGCTTCCATGTTCTGTCAATACTTTTGATCACATCTAATGTCTTTGTGAACTCAAAGTTGTAGAGAAAAAAAGTATCTCTCCTCTCACAAAAACCCTAATTCTTTAATCTACTTGTTTCTAATGCTATCCCACATTATGATGTTTCTTAAAATTTCTTAGTTTGTTCTTAATTTTTTAAAAAGGCACAAAACAACCAAGTATGGTTTATCACATAGGTAATATTTAATTAAGTTTTCCCTCAAATAAAATTGTTTGCAAGAAAATAAATAAATGCTGCAGGCACTTATCTTTAAGGAAGCCACCACTGACAGAACTGCCCATTTGTTATTAGTGCTGAGCTTAGCATGCATTATTACAATGGAAGAGTGTAATTTACAAGTGATTTATAATAGGCATCAAAAAAACAAATTCAAAACTTCATTAAATATTCAAAAATTTCACAGACCACCACATACGGAAATTGCATGTAGTGATAAACTTAGCACAAAATAAATTCAGACATTTGTCTTCTGGAAAAAAAGTAAAGTTTTTCACGCAGATATTCTCCACAATATAAACAGAAGAACAATGAATTGGTAGTTGGTTACTTCAGTAGTATTCACAAGCACTTGTCAGGACTGAGGTGCATGAGCAATCATCATAGCTATTCAACTTTGGGTTCATGGTTACCTGGAAAAATGTTTCCTTTTACATTTGCTTACCATCTGAAGTGGGTGCAATGATTTCATTTCTGTTGCAGAAATCTCAAAGAGTCCCTGGTCTTCCTCCAAAACTGTAGCTTGTCCCTTAAAATCAGTATCTGGGTAGGCGAGCCAACTAAATAAGAAAGGAATGGTTGGTTAACATATAATAGGAATACCGTAGTCTGGTTCTGTAAAAGTTAAAGTAAAAAGGGCTACATAAAAACAAAACAAAAACCCACCACAGAATTATGCTAATAAAACACACTCAAAGTGACTTCTCCAAGAAGCACACAATGAGTTATGTCATTAAGTACTTACCTTCAAACACTACCTATCCTATAATAAGTCTATCATGTGTTTTCCAAGTATTAAAATTTTCCAGTGCTTAAAGGGTGCAAGCCCTTTAATTCAAGCAGAATATAAGTGAAGTGCCAACACCATCCCACTATATTTCATTCTTTTTAAAATTGGAGCAATCAGAGGTAGGGATTCTACCAGGCATCTTACAACTTGGACCTACATTTTAAAAATCAGTATCAGTTCTATTGGCTGCCTTCCGAACAGTATATAAGATTTCCAAAAGACTCATCTGGCTTCCACCTAAACTTGATAATTATAGACACTGCTCATAGATAGGGTTAATTACTGGGTCTGCTCAAGAATTCTAATCTATGGCTGGGGAAGATGAGGAAAGATGTCCTACCATGACCCCCAAATTCTACAGCACCGTTGTCAAAGCAGATGAAAACAGTGAATGAGAAAAGAGGGATCCATTGAACCACGTATCACAGAATTTGTGATTCTAGCCAATCTGGGACTGACTTAAGACTAAACTCAGACCCATCCCCCTGAAGATACCTTTGGAATCAGAAAGGCCTCGACCGGGACAAGGTCCTCAATTTCCTCATTTATAACATGAGTGTTTTTCCATCTGCCTTGCAGGCATAGAGGAGTAATAAACAAAGAGGCACCATGTGCCTGGCACTGCAGAGGTATCCAGTAACTGGTTCAAGCTGCAGAATTTTAGGCCAGGGGCATATTTTTATTTCACAGTCCTAAAACTTAGTGGAGAAAAAGAGATGGGTGCATCTATCAAGAACGATGTGTGAGACTCTGTTTCTGCTCCTGTGAGTCATACATCAAAGACTTAATAGGAGCTAAAGAAAGACAGAATCTGTTTAATCCCTGTGGCAGTCTTTCCTGGGTATCCAAAGTACAAATGAAATTAACACTTCAGAAATACGTGTGTTGCCTATTGAAATGTGAAACACAAAGTTAACTCTGGTGGCCATCAATCACTGTAATAAAGAGAAATGGATACGCACACTCCTGACTTCACAGTAAAAGACATCGATTTGGGGATATTCAGCTCTTCCAAATTAGGAACCGCTCTCTGTATGTAGATGGGACAACATGCTGGGTCAGACTGTGGGCAAAGTTCTATCTCTGGAACACTGCAATCCTGAAAAGAAAAAAAACAAAAAAAAAAGGGGGCTTTGAAATCATCTAAAGAAACACACACAGTCCAGTATTCTCAACACACTGGACATGCAGTTACAATTATTCACATTGTTCAGTTACAGCATAAAGGAAATATTGTTCCTCTATACCAGTTTTTAAAAATAAATTTTTCTTTAAAAAATTTTTTTTTACATTTTTCAATTACAGTTGGCATTCAATATTATTTTATATTAGTTTCAGGTATAAAGCATAATGGTTAGACATTTTATAAAATTTATGAAATGATCCTCCCAATAAGTCTAGTACCGACCTAGCACCATACACAGTTATTACAGTATTTTCGACTACATTCCGAGCTGTACTTTATATCCCCATGACTATTTTGTAACTACCAGTTTGTACTTCTTTATCCCTTCACTTTTTCTCCCACCGCCCCCAACCCCTCTCCCAATCTGGAAATCAATACATTTTTCTAAGGATTTATGCTGATAACATGGAAATTATAAATATTATTCACTGAAAAAGTATTACTCCAATATTTTCTGCTTTGTCTTTAAAAGTCTTGTCCCAATTAAGCAATGTTCAGAGTTACAAAACTATCTGAGTGCCAAAAGTCTGTAAGCTTTCCTTCTAAGAAGCACAACAGAGGCCACAGGGAGGAAGGGAGTTAAGTAAAAGCTGATCTCATGGGGAACATTAAAAAATAAGTAACAGAGAAGCACTATACCCTCAGTGTGTTATCTAACTTACATTTGACAAAAAAGGTAGGCATTAGAGGTGAGGGTAAAGGAAATGTTTTCCTACTCGTGGTATTCCACTTATTTTCTTTAGTACAAGTTGGCTTGAAGAAGAAATGCATGATGAAATTTGACCCTACATTCTATCACACATCTACTGCCACCATGTCCTGACAAACCTTCCTTAAAATTTCACTTGTGTTTCTCTCTTATCTGTTCCCACGGCCAAGGCCCTTCATCAAGGCCAAGGCTTCGATTATAGGCCTATACCACCGGTCAAGTACTGGCCACTCTTTATACAGCTGGGCTCATTAGAACACCACTTTCCTTGTGACCCAAGCACATTAAATTTATATAGGTTTCCCTTTCTACAATATAGCCCCAACCTAGTAATCTGTACTAACTCTCCATGACTCTTGGGTCATACTGGTCTCCATGCTATCTTCACTCCCCCCACTCGGGCCTCTCTAAGCTTTGTAAATGTTTCCCCCATTGAAGTTAAAGAGATAATTCTCTGTATTCTTACTTATGAAAATCTTCTAGCTAAAAAATGACCTCATCTTTTCTTAGGCAATCAAAACCACAATTATTTTTCCCTTCCTGAAAGTACAGATGTGCCTCTGTCAGAACACACAGTCTACCTCAGTAGTCATGGGTGTTTTGATTCTATGACTTAAGTTTCAGCAGCAGCATCTAGGACACTAGGAAATTCAAATGATTATGGCTTTAACAAAATAGGTATATGTAGTAACAATCAGAGGTGTCATTTATTGGGACTGAACAGTTGTATTTTTTATTACAATCAGTTTTGCAATTTTAAAACTGTTAATTTTCTAATATTTCCCCAAGCTGAGTTCTCTTATTAATCATTTATCAACAATTCTTCCCAATATGTAAAAGCAAGCAAACTGATACAACCTTATTTTCAGAGTTATTTCTAAAATGCGGTAAGAGTAAAAAGCCACTGCTTAAAATATTCTTGAAAGTATAAAAATGTATTTTCTTCTAAAGTTTCATTTCAAAAGTAGCCAGAGATGTCCAGAATAGCCAGTTACCCGTCAATCTTCAAGGCTCTTTTGTTTGCTGTTAACAATAGAGTTCTAGGAACAGAGCTGCCGCCATACTCACGCTCCCCCAGGGATCGGAGGGGCAGTAAGAGAGCACATAACTAAGTGTCTCACACAAATAAGCTTCCTCTGCATTGTGTTGTACAAACAATGTCTGGGTGGTGTACTTTACAAGGGAAAAAGCTAAGAGGCATTCAAGTCCACCACAACACAGAAGGAAACAGCATAATGGAACAAGTCTGACAATGGCTAGAAAATGGAAAATAAAAATGAGTGCTTAAGCTCTCAACTATCTTTACTAGAGGATCAAATTTTTTTCTCTCCAGTTGACTGAAAAAGATTTCAGTGATAAGTTCCATTTTCTTCATGGTGGCTACTCTCAGAAATAATGTCTTTCGCAAGACTTGTGTAATTCTTGATGGTCCAAGGCAGTAAACACTAGCAACTGAAGGGTGCTTTAGAGTAGCCTAGCAACAACAAACAGTTTACTCTCCGCAAAGGAAAGTTTATATGGCTTCCTCCCAGACTTTTCTAGACCTGATATACTTTACAAGCGTATTCTGGTGAAATCTGCCAGCTTAGATTATTAAAGCAATTAGCTGGAAGGGAGACAAATCTACAGGAGAGAAAAAGGGTGGGAATGAATTACAGTTAAAAAACAAACAAACAGTAAGAAAGACTACTTGTCTCCACCGCACATAAAATACCTTTGGTCACTGATCTAACAACGGATCTCTCTCCTCTTGGCTCATTAATGAGGGTGCAACCTAAGTAACTTCTGACCATAAGAAAAATGCCATTCCTTAAAAAAAGTTAAATGCATAGTAAACACAGGAATTTGCACGACTTATTTCTTCTGTTTGAGAAAAGAAAGCACCTGACTCAGGATTCACTGCGTTGCTACCCCACCCCCGTTTTTTCTACCGGGGGGGCAAAGATGACCCCAGAGTAGAATCTACAGCTGCTGATGGCTGATGGCATCTGCTGTATCTACTCACAGCAAAGTGAAAAACACCCTTGAAAATATTATCTTTAAAGAACATTCAAGTTTTGACTAGTCAGATGAGAACTACTAAAAGATGCTGAAACAAGGTAATTTGGCACAGGCCTCGGGGAATCTGGAATGGCCACCACGAAACTGAAGTAAAGCCACTGACAGCCAGCATTTGACACGGTTGGAGAGAGGAAGCAGTTTGGTGCTTGAGTCTTACTTTGTTAAATATTTAGAACAATGCTAATGCCTTTTCCATTCAACGCTCAATAGTTTTATTTTCCTTCCTCACTGAAAGTTGCTAGCCTGCTCAAGATACGTGGGCACTAAGAGGGCAATCTAAACAAGACTCCAAGGACAAACAATGGAAGGGGGGGGGAATGAAAGCACGCCTTCTTTCCTAGAATATATTTTAAGCAAATGGCAGACGTGCAAATACCCCTTTGCATACCCATTCCCAACAGACTTGTTTTTTGTTTGATTTTATTGTTGTTTAATTATGGGGGTTGGAGGAGGTTGCTGCTTACAACATCTTATTTATCTTTTATCCCTCACCAGGCCTGGCATGGTGCCTGACATTCACAAGGCACGTACAAAACCATGAGTTACTTAAATCTCAGAAGATTCCACCTACAAACTAATTATTCATTTCAAGGAATTTCTAGTGATTCAGCCAATGAAGTGAGCACTGTAGAGGAACACTGTCCTCTATGCTGTGCTGCCAATCTCCCTGCAAGTGCCACCAACACTGCCAGGAACTGCCCCCCCCGCCCCCGCCCCGCATTTCCTCTGCTGCCCGACTCCTGCTTACTTTTTCCAGATTCCAATCCCGTGCCACCTCCTCCAGGCAGGTGCCTTTGCTTTGTGTGCCCTTGGGACTTCCAGAGCACTTTTCACATCACATGGTCATGTGACTCAGTTGTCTCTTCCTAGATGTTAAGCAACCTGAAGCCAGAGACCCTATCTCACTTGTATTTCTATTCCCAGTGTCAATCTCAGTACTGGGTCCAAAAGCAGACACCGATATTTGCAGGCATGAGTTTGTTACAGTTTTGCAGGAAGTATTAATTCAAATAAAATACATGCAGACACCCCTTTATGATAAGTTTTTCTGTATGCTATCTACAACTCTTGAGGGTTTAATAACATTGATTCAAATCATTATGATTTTCTGTCTTAAGCATGTAAAAGAAATCCCCATAATTTGAAAAAAATATATGTCCTTGACTGCCATAGGAGTAATTAAACTGACTCATGTGCTATGTTACTGCTGAAGGAACTCCTAAGATCCTCTCTCCATCCTTCCGTCTCCTAACACTTCTCTCTCTCTCTCACACACACACAAAGAAACACACAGAATGACACAAAGGAGTAGAAATCTACGCTAGAAAAAGATATATTTAGAAATATCGACTATTTTCCTAAAGATGCCTAATGGTATATTTTTATTACTATCAAATATATATATTACATCATGTACCATTTTATGGTCCAGATTACCAGTAATATTTTAACATTCATTTAATACTTTGTATGTATAATGTGAAAAGATCATTAATATAATAAAGATGAATAAAATTAGCACAAATTACGGCAACCATTTTTAAACATTGCTAGGCCAATGTACAGCTTTATTACAGGACAAACAAAACAAAATAAAAAATAGAAGAAAATCAACAGTTCTACCTTTAAGACACGTTTGACAGAACCCAATACAAAGTTTCTTTGTGGATGCTTTCTGTTCTGAAGGGTCCAGTCACGATTTAACACCTTTTCCCCTTCCTCTAACACACATTTTTGACCTTGGAAATGTGGTCTCTCATATAAAATCCAGCTGAGAAAACATAAAAGCATGATCAGTTATAATTAATTTTCTAAGAAATGAGTAATAAAACAAATGATACTTAGTAAGTCATAGACCATCTTATCTATGTGCACTTTAAAATCTGGGTTATTTTCCATTGTCAGCGTATAATCCTATTTTTGAAATATAATATATGCTACTTTAGGTACAAACAGTATTAGAAAAAATAAACTTGGAAATAATGCTTCCTGAATATAATACTCTAATCTAGGCCTATGCCTATATTTATGTATATATGCACTTTACAGATGTCTATACATTTATATTAAAACCAATTGCTTAACAATTCCAAACTCCACTTCTTTAGTTTTCCTGTCACTGGGCAACAGTGAACCTGTATCCCATTTTATTACATGAAGCTAGCACTACACAATGCTTACAGCATGAACACTGACCAGTGGGTAACTGAATTACTGGCCCCAACATATCGATGGGACGTGGTCCATAAGAACAAATGAAGTTTCCCCCCATTTTTACACCATACAAAGGATCCTTCATGTTTTGACTATGCCAGCTGCACAAACGACTTTAAGTATGTGGCTTTCACATTCCTTAGCATCCCACAAATTTTGAACTCATTTTCAAAGCCATGCTTCATTCAACTGAAGCCTTCAGTCAAATCTATTCTGCTAATAATGCAGTTATACAATGGTTTTGATTGTTATATTGTATATATTAGGTCCTGCTACTTACTGCTGCTTTAGGCACTAAGAACAGCTATATTTTCTGCCACAGGAAATACAACAATTAAGTTATAAAACACTAATAATGTTTTAAAATATTCTGTCAAAAATGAGAGGAAAGGGAATGCAACTTTAAAAAATACAAAAGCAGCCCGGCCGGTTGTGGCCCAGTGGTTGAGCAACGACCTAGGATCCAGAAGATCAAGGTTCGATTCCTAGTCAGGGCACATGCCTGGGTTGCAGGCTCAATCCCCAGTCTGGGGCGTGCAAGAGGCAGCCGATCAATGACTCATCATTGATGTTTCTCTCTCTCTCTCCCTCTCCCTTCCTCTCTCTGAAATCAATAAAGATATATTTAAAAAAAAAAAAAATACAAAAGCATTAATGGCAACAAAACATTTAATTTTGGGGGGAAAATGCTATAAAATTTTATGAGATCTCTTACCAGCCCCTTACAACTTTTATCAGTACCCCATTCGGAAAGGGCCATGACGTAGTATCGAGAACACTATGGTAGACCTCTTGTTTATAATTACTTCCATGGAAATCATAGATAACCATCTGCAACATATAGAGAACAGGCACAAAAACTAATTTAAAAAATGCATTTAAAATTGTAAAAAGTCCTAAAATATAGAAAATAAAATATCCTGAATATATAAAAGTAGACATTACTTTAGATGTTAAATCCTTGAGTAAAATAATCCTTTTGTCAGTCAATTCAAAGTACTTACTTAAAACTCCCCAAGCCTAAAAGTAACCGTACTTTTCATATCAGTCTGTGTAAGAAACTTACGCTTACCTTCCCGGGTCTTGGGTTACACCTCAGAGTTTTCCTGTCAACAATCTGAAATAATAAACGTGGGAGAAGTAAGCCTTAAGAAACATCAATGGAAAGATATATCGTTCACTTTCTTGGCCACCATAAACCCAATTTCTCATGTTTACTCAGTGACATTATGTGCGAGGTGTACCTCTAGGTGCTACAAGGAAATAAAGGTAAATGTGAAGGGAAACAACATGCTGTTTCTACCCTCAGGAAGCTTACAGCTTGGAAGGGGGACACAGCTGAGCGCACTCTTGTGACTCTTCTAAGTGGGGGACTACGTTAAACCCACAGGTAAACATACAAACAAAATGTCGGGTTACGAAAGTTAAGGGAAACGGCACCAGCATGGAGGTGAGGCGATGCCGAGATTCAGAAGAGGCTTGTCTGAGGAAGTGGTATGGAGACGACCTTGAAAAACAGAACTTCAATGAGTGAAAAAATGTTGCAGCAGAGGAAAGAAGTCCAGGAAGAGAACCATCTTGAGAAAAAGTGCGCTGGTAGGAGGCACAGGGTGTGCACCCAGAGCATAAAGGAGGCATCGTTGCACAAACAGAATCTGGGGCCTTGTGATACACGGTGAGGAGGTTCCACTTGATCTGGGAGGCAACAGGGAACCATTAAAGAAACGTTCCTTTAAATCCCATCAATTTTTAAAAATGGCTTTGCCTTGCAAGCTGTTGGTTGGTATATAAGTATTACTATTTGCTCCTAAAGCTGTTCCAGGTAAAGATGCAGGCCTTGGGACCCCTAGAGAATGTTCCATTACCTTGGGAATGCCGCAGAGGAAAGTCCCACATTCAGTGAATATTCTGCATTAGACATTTAAACATTTCTAAGTAGAAGGAAAGTGTAACTGAATTTCAAAACATTTTCCAACTATAATGCTATCAGCTCTTTTTCTTTGAATTGGGCTGTTCACTGCCCTGCTTTGAATGAACAACACGAGTAACTAAAGTGAGAGGAGGTTCTCAAGCAAACATTTAAAATATTTTTAACTATTATGAAATATTTCCACTAGACATGTAAGCTCAACGGTAAGTATCAATTTTCCCAAACAGTCCCTTGAAAAATTTAGAATCTTGTCACTTAATTTAGTTTGAAAACTAAATATAGCCGTGGCCAGTGTGGCTCAGTTGGTTGGAGCATTGTCCCATGCACCAAAGGGTTGTGGGTTCGATTCCTGGTCAGGGCACATGCCTAGGTTGCAGGCTCGATTCCCAGTCAGGGCACACAGGGGAGGTAGCCTATCGATGTTTTTCTCTCTCCTCCCCTAAAAAAAATATCGATAATAAAAAAGCATATCCTCTGGTGAGGATTTAAAGAAACACCTAAATATAGTAAAGAACTGGAAAATAACTTGCTTCTCTGCCTTTAAATTTTGAGCAATTTTTTCCTCAATGTAACAATTCAGCTAAAATATATAACTTATGCTACACTTCAACCAAAGAATAAAGTAACCTCTGGAATTTTTAGAAATAATCTTTACACCGCCAAACATTGATTTTCTGAAGTTTCTAGATAATTTTGACCCAAAGCACTACTTCGCTAATCATCAAAATGACTTACCTCTGTGAATGGGCTTAATCTGCCCAAGTTGTCTTGAGCACGGAAGTATTTTGACACTGGGTGCTGCAAAGTCCCACCAAATTGGGCTCCTTTCTCTGAGGGGTGGGTTTTGGAAGTCTGCAAATACTGATGGTAAGCACTCTTTACGGAAGAATGTAGTTTAGAGGTCAGGTCCGACTTTTGTAGAAATGAGGCCTTTTCTGGCCACAGACCAACTTGCAGATGTGGAGTAGCAGGTTCGTTTGCCTTTACAGATGAATTCTTAGAAACTCCAGTCCTTTCCTGGTCATCAGGGTCAAGTGTGACGGGAGGATCTGGAAGCCTGAAGGTAACAGTTTCCCTCCTCCTAGCCCTCAGGTTCCCTTTATGCAACACTTCTTCCTCCTCTTCTCCTAACTCCTGCCTATAGTCTTCATCAAAATTCATCTTTAAACGCTCTGACACTGACTGCAGAAGTGATAAGACAGAAGAGGGCTGGTTTGCATTGTCTCTTGATTTGGTGGAGCCATGATGACCAGGTGAGACCTCGTTGGACAGAATGTCCTCCTGAGAGCTGTCATCCTCATAGATGGGTGACAAAGCTAAGGGGTAAATCTTGTACCTTTTGGCCTCCACTGATAAGAACATTTCTGAACTATCGCTATCGAATGTCTCACCTAACTTAGTACTCCTTTCAAAATGATGGACCAGGTCCGTTCTACTCTCAGACCTTTCACAGGAGACAACAGGAATGCCAGGGGGGGTATCAGGAAACAAGAGAGAGTGTGTTGCTCTTACTTTGGCAGTAGCACGCCTGTCGTCACCTTGAAGGGGTTCTTCATATAATATCGTGAAGGATGGATTTTCTCGTTCGTCCTGAGAAACGAAGGCTAGGCTAGAGTCTTCTTTTTCATCGCTATAATCCCCCGGATCTCTTGTTTTGTCAGCTACTGCAGTAACAGATGTCCTTCTGTCTGGCCTTCCTATGGTATCCATGGGTTGAAAATCTGGCATTGCTAAGGCAGGGTAGCCTTCAAAATCCTTACTTAACGTAGGTGATTCATAGCCCCTGAAATAGGAAGCAAGTCTATTGTCATGTGCTATCAATCCTTCCTTCATTTCAGTGAGCTCTTCCTCCATTCCTCCAATACTCTCTCCGCCATACTCTTGGGGTGTTTGCTCAGGGTCAAATATGGGAGGGGTGGCCTCTGTCTGTGTAACAAGCAACTCCAGACCTGTCCCACAGGTTTTCCCCACATTTACCACTGCAGGTAACACTTGGTGTTTCCTGACAGCTCCAACAGAACCTTCTGGGGATGTTCTCTCCATTTCTATCAGAGACAGCATGGATACCATCGCTGCCACTGTCTCTTCAGCATCCCTCTTGCACGCTTTTTCCATTTCTAAAGAGGCAGGGGCTGCCTTCATGGGTGCTTTTCCCACTTCTGACGCAGAAGGTACCATTTCAGTTTTCCTTGTAAGTCCTTCAGCATCCTTTTGGTAAATACCTTCTACTTCTAACGCAGGAGGTGTCACTTCCGCCTTTTCAGGAATTCCCTCCACATCTTTTCGGTAGATAGTTTCCGTTTCTGACACAACTGATGTCACCCCGGTCTTGCCAATATCACCTTCAGCATGCTTTTGGTAACTAGTTTCCATCCCTAACGACACAGACATCCCTTCAGTCTTTCCAGTAATCCCCTCAGGGTCTTTCTGACAGGCATCTTTCAGTTCTGACATAACAGGCATCAAGTCAGTTTTGACAATATCCCTTTCAGTATCCCCCATCGTACACGCCTTTTCCATTCCTAATAGGGCAGGTAATCCCTCCACTTTTTCATGATACCTCTCAGCATCCATTTGGTGTACTTCCTGCATTTTACAACTGTCCGTTGTGGCCTCAGTTTTCGTGACATTCAATTCATCATCCCTTTTCTGCGCTCCTCCCATTTCTGCCATAAGAGGGATGGCGTCATTTTTCATAACATTCAATTCCACATCCTTTGTGTTTGCTTTCCCCAGTTCTAACATGGGAGGGATAAGCTCGATTTTCCCTATGTTTACTTCGGTATCCTTTTTGTGCACTTTCCCTACTTCTGACATTGCAAGGGGTGTGCTTTTATTACTGTGTGCTGCCAAGCCTTTTTCAGACATACACACAAGACTATCAGACCAACTGCTTTTGGATGTCCCGGCTATATGGATGTCATCAATCGCACATGGAGGCCTTTGGACATTTGATACAAGAGTTCGGGTATCCTCTGTCCCAGTTTTGCGATTATCCATACACTCTAGTTCCATTTTCTCTTTAGAGTCCTCTTTGAGAAGTACACGTGTTTCTACCCTATCACCTAACCCTTTATGGGGCAAGTCTTCAGCTACTAAAACACTATCTGATTCCTGCAAGTTTATACCATCAGACTGTCCAGCTCCACTTCCAGGAAATGGGGTTTTGGGGTAGGAAAAACTTTCTATTCCTTTAATTGACTCTGTGTCACTAGGCAAGTTACTCACAGAGAAGAGTCTACCTAATACTTTATTTTCACTAATTCCACATGTGCTTTGATTTACTACCTGTTCTGATGCCAAGAACTCCCTTACAGGAGACTTAACACTATCACTGTTCAGAATTTTTGGAGTATTAGCCTGAAGTTCAGATTCCCAGGTAGTCTCTGTATCTTCAAAAGCATCATTTGTTATATTTTCTTGGGCTGAATTAATAATCTCACTGACTAATTCCCTAACTTGATCTTCTAACAAACAAGATACATTCATTCTATCAGAATCAAAAAGGAGACTCTTCTCACCAGGTGTAGGCGAAACATGGGCCTTTCCTTCCCCTTGGAGTCCTGACATGTTTTCCAAGTCCTGCTCTTCCAAATGCTCTATCAGATGGATCCCTGTCTGTGTCACACCCAATGGGTTTTTCTCAGATGTGTCTTCTTTCAGGGCACCAGGATTCATGATACTGTATCTGGCTAGCTGCTCCTGGCAGGTATCAACTGTGTGTTTGGATTTCAGGTCTTCCCTAACAGAATTAAAAATCTCACCAACCAATGTATCAGCTTTTTTCAGTAAGCCACTTCTGAGGGCCCAGAGTTGGTCACATGCTCTCTTCCTTGCTTCTATGTGCTCAGCAGAGGCTTCAGAACTCTGCTGGCTTGAGCTGTTAACTGACGCCGGAGCCCCAGCAACTGCTCCCTTCTCTGCTTCCACAGGCTTGTCAAACTGGGCAGCAGTTGGGGAGTCAAGAGATGCCTCCCCAGTATGATTACCAAAATGTTCCTGAAAAGGGGCCCCTCCTGCACCTATTGAGACAGATGTTTCAAATTCCAAATAGAAGCTAGTAGGGTACAGCGGGTTAGTTAAGGCACCTTCGCGTGTGGCATCTGTAGTAACTTTTAGAGAACCAACACTATTCTGGGGATTTTGTGTACTTGTAACCACGCTGGCTCCTTCAGCCTTACTATGGGAGGACATGTTATCAATGCCACCATGTAGGAAATGAGTGCTCTCTCTCTCTCTGTGAGGTGAGGCTTTCTTTTCCGATCTCAGTGCACAGGGAACATTATTAAGAAAGCCTGAGTCCTCAGGTGCAAAAGCATTTTCCCCCAAAGTGGTATCAGAACCCAGAAAAGGTGCGTTTACTTTTGTGCTGTCAGTTTCTTGGAATTTGGGGCAAGTATTAGTTAAGCCGAGTTCTGCCACTTCTGAGGAACCTGAAATCTTTTCAGTCCCACAAATATCCGAAGGTTCATAAGTCACACACGTGTTGGCTTTTTCATCATGAACAGGAGGTAAAATCCCAGAAGTGTTGCTTTTGAGGAATGGAGGAGAACCTAACGCTTCTACCTCTGTTTCCTTTTCACCTGCGTATCTGGAGACAGAAGGCAAAACCTCAGCTTGGCCATTCTCTTTAAGCCCAGGATCTGAATATTTCTCTTTAATCTCATTATGATCCCTCAATTGACAACTTGTGTCCTGTTCAGCCTCTGGGCAGGTTAATTCTGATAAAATAGGCTTTGCCGGCACATCTGTAATTTCTAATGGAGAAGAAATCTTATCCTGAGAAATGTCTCCAGACCCCGTTTTGGAAACTGGTATCTTGGAGAAGGCTGTAGCTTTTCCTCCTCCAGAATGTGACCCCACAGGAACGTCGTTCTGACCTTCAACTTCAGCTCTTGATAAAACTTTAGCAATGTTATTAGTTTTAGAGTCCAAGGAAAGAGAACCAGACTTCTCTAGAGTGCTCTTCCTTGCTTTACTGTTTGAAAGCAAGGACTCTGCTTTATTAGGGTCTTGAGATGAAATGGAACTGTGGTCCTCAGGGAGGCTCTCGTACTCGAATCTCAAGTCCACGCCACTCAGGTGCGTGTCACGGGCTTCAAGGTCTAGTGGCACCTGGCATTTTTCACTGTCGGGAAGAACATCCTTGGGTTCGAGAATCACAGATGCATGCTTAAGGTGAAGGCCAGCTGGAGGACACTTCCCGTCTGCAGCCTCAACGCGATTCACTGCATTTTCTTCATGGCATTTGCTAGGCTCACTGGAAACACCCACAGTGTCCACATCCCCAGGTTGAATGAGCACAGAAGACCCTTCATTCTTCAAAATAGGCATATCCAGCTGGCTCAGCATGCCAATTCCAGAAACAAAGGTAGGAGATGAAGCATTGCAGTTTGATTTTTCACAGTCAAGGGTAAGAGAGGTTTTGGTATCAGGTGAAACTTTGGCTTGTTGAGGACTCTGAGAGTGAGGAAGAGATTCTGAAATGTGATTTCTATGAAGTTCAAAAGTCAGTTCAGGGGTTATTTTGTTTTCTAGGCATGCTACAACTGCTGACTCACTGATACATTTTACAGCAGCAGCAGGGTCCTTCGGATTTGTTCTAAGAATGTGAGGCACTTTGCCATGTGGCCCCAAATCAAGCTTTTTGGCTTCTGTTGCACACAACTGGTGAGTATCTTTGGGTAATGACTCAATTCCATCTTCTGGAGCTTTTGCATGACTTGAAGCTGTGGGTTCACAGACACTTTCTGTTTCTTGCCTGATTTCTTTAACAGCCAAATTTTTCTGTGCATCTTGGGCAGACAACCTGTTTCCCTCATTTACAAGTTCTGTGCCTGTCCCAGCATGTCTCTGAAGAGCACCGGTGTGCTTGGCAGCCTGCTCTGAGGAGTTATCTACAGTTGGCTTGTCAAAACCCTCACTCTCTGGCGACTGCAAGTCGTCATGCCTAACTGATTTATCTGGTCTTGGCGAATCTGTGCTTTCCTGTTTGGTAGTATCACTTCCATCAGATTTATTAAAAGACAAGTGAGAAACAGCAGGACTCTCAGGCTTGATATGCTCTTCTCTTGGCACCAGGGTCCCATCACTCCTGACAGAGTTGTTTTCTTCTGTTGTGGTCTCTGTAGAAGTCACCCTCTGAAAGTCTGGACTGCAAGGAACTGCGCTGCTGCAGCTTCCTGTAAACACTGAACATACCAGATTTCTGTCAGTCTGAGAAACTGGCATATAACCTAAATGGTGCTGTGAGTCAGAGTCTCCAACAGCAGAGCTGGAGTTAGTCACAGAAGAAGGGGATGACCTATTTCCCTCAGGTCCCCCAAGGCCATTTTCATTTAAGACATCCTCAGAAGAAGCAATATTCAGCACTTCTGGGTTGTTTGTGGGATGGCTTTCTGTGCTGAGACTTGTTCTGCTACAAGCAGAGCCTTCTAATGGGTCTCCAAGCATATGTTCTTTCTCAGATATGTCTGTGCTAGATGATGACAAAGATGACAGCATCCCAGCCGCAATCTCACTCCCAGGGCCAATGTGTGTGCTTGTACTAGAGTCAGAGCTTTCATTTCCTCTGTCCAAGAGATTCGCAGTTTCTAACACGGTCTGTTGCTTCAAAAATTTCCTAATTTGTCTGGGGCCTCGATACGTTGCATATGTTACTGAAGGCCTCTCTGGTTTACCATCTGCTGGTCTGTGGGGAAAAACAAAAAACAGAAACAAGCACAAAACAGAGACAGTATGAGGGTATTAGGAAATATAATTAGAAACACTTAACAGTAATCTCAGAAACTGTGGTGAAGAATATCTCATAACCCCGAAGGCTTTTAACTTTTCTATGTAGAGAGAAGCTACAAAGCCAGCAATTTTTTTTCAAATTACAATAAAGCTTTGACAATAGAGATTCTCAACATCGGTATCAACATTTTGAAAATATAAGAATTAAAGGACTTTCTAAAGAATTTCAATCCAACAAAGAAGTAGCTTCCTATATAAATTACACTGGAAGCATGAGTTAATGTATAGAAAACAATCTAAAAAATGTTACCCAACAGGTATACTTCAAGGCTTTATGGATATTATAAAGGGCATCTGCATAGTCAACTATACATAAAAACAATTACAAAGCTGTTTATTATTTTTAATTACGTGAAGATAAAGTCATTTAGCCTGTTCGTAGCTGTGGACCAGCTTTGACAAAAGACTGCTCATTTCTGTACATCTGTTGGAACTTCGGATTCAATTCCAGGTGGCTGTTTCTGCAGATAATTTTAGTCAGGCACCACTGAACCCCAGGGGCCTCTGCTTCTTGCCCACATGGGGGCTTTCCACACTGATGCCCACCACCAAGCCACAGGAGCGACTGCACCCAGCTCAGAACTGCCCGCTTCACCTCCTCCCACCCCTTTGCCTATAGCTAGTGCAAATACTTTCAGATGGTTCGTATCTTTCCCCTCTCTTCCCCGTACGTGACATATAGGGTGTCCCCCCAAATGTGTACACCTTTAACAGCTGATAGCTCAATTGATGTCTCTTTCTTTTCAGATTTAACACACTGGAATTAATCAGTAGTGAAAGGGGCACCCTGTATAAAAATGCTTACAAACTTTGAGAAATGGACATGTCTTTCCTACCTAGCCACGCTGCTGGTGGTTTAGGTTCCATGCCCCAAGACCAGTACCAGTATTCTTTTTTTGTGTGTGTGCTAGCAATGGCCTAATAAACCTTTCTTTTAAAAAGACTTTCAGCCACGGGAGTTAATTTCTTTTGTTTTGTTTAACAAATCAAAACCAAAGAAGAAAAAGCACAAACTTTCTACCCAATTCCCATATAACAGCTCAAAACCGCCACCATTTTAAATTACTTTGGAATCAAAGGCACCTGGAGAGGTGGTTAGAAGACTGCTGAGCCCACTCCCAGGCATGCTGAGTCAGCAGGTCTGGATCAGATAATCTGCGTTTCTAATGCGGCGGCTGCTGCTGATCCAGGGACCACATCTTCAATAGCACTGCTTTAGACAATTCTTCATGACTAATGGACCTCAATTCAACCTTTTTTTTTTTTTTGCTGTTGGACATTTGTTTCCAATTATACATTCCTATAAATAACGTTTCAGTAAACATCTTTGTATACAACTAGAAATAATCTAATCTACACACTGCCCTAAAACATGTCTTCCACTCCTAACAGTGCATACATACCAGCATCAGCCATCATCAACTTGACTCACACAGAGTATTATCATTTATTATTACTGCTATCAATTTAATGGGAGAAAAGTTATCTATTTAGTTTGCATTTCTTTGACTGCTAGTGAGAATACATTTTTTCCACTTATTAGCAGTTTGTATTTCTTCTACTTGAATGCTTTGTTTATATTGTATGCTCATTTATTCTATTAGTGTCTAAAATGCTTATCAGTTAAAGCGTGATTGGACATTTTTCGTATATAATTTTCTCGTTTGCCAATTTAATGTATCATTGGTTATGATACTGCTTGGCATAAGGGAGTTGGAAAATTGGAAGTAACACACTACTGATCTTCCATTTCCTGATACTTTCTGTTGCTATCATGCTTAGAAAATGTTTCCCACCAAAATAAAATAATTCACATTTAGCTACACTTAGTTTTGTATATTCTTAACACACTATTCCATCTTAATTAATTTTAATATAAAAATGAGATCAGTAGCTAGCTTTTATTTTTCTCTCCAAATTGTTAACCAATTTCCCCGAGTCCTCCTTCCCACTACAAGAATATGTAATGCCATCACATTCAAGGGTTCAAATCATAAATATACAAAGGACCTATTTCCAGACTGTCTACTCTGTTCCATTTAAATGTATAGCAAATATTACGTCAGTACGACATTGCTTCAACTAATGTAGCCTTATTAGCACATTTAAACATCTGATAGGGCAAGTCCCACTGCATCATCTTTAGGCAGACACAAAGCTATCTGGGTGTCTCAGTTCTCACAACTGTAAGATGGGCCAGTGCCCACCTCCACGCCTGCTACGAGGAATTAACTGAAAGCACGCATATGAAGACACTTTGAAACTACAGAGAACTATACAGTCCTAAGTTGTCACCAAAATCTGACTACAGTTTTATTGATGACCTCTTAAAATAATAAAAATAATTTTCAGGTAGAGGTTAAATTAAAACCAATAGAACAGATTCTTATTAGCTTTGAATGAGTACTTTGTTACACAAACTGTCTAATGGACTCAACGTTGTTATAAACATTTTTTGGGGTAGAAAATATTCCTTCTGGTGCAAACTGATGCAGCAACTATGGAAAGCAATATGGAGGTTCCTCAAAAATTTAAACTAGAACTACCATATGACCCAGCAATCCCACTTCTGGGTATTTATCCAAAGAAATCCAAAACACTAATTCTAAAAGATATATGCATCCCTATGTTCTTGCCTGCATTATTTATAATAGCCAAGTATGAAAGCAATCTAAGTGTCCACTGACATGACTGGATAAAGAAGAAGTGGTACACATATATACTGGATTTTTTTTTTTTTTTAGAGAGGAAGGAAGAGATGGGGGGGAAGAGTGGGAGAGGAGAGGAAAGGGAAAGGGACAAGGACAGGGAGGGGGGAGAGAGAGAGGGTGAGGGGAGAGAGGGACAGGGAGGGAT